AGTAAAAAGTACAATTCTACATGTTAGCTTAATGCTACTGATATTCTCAGCTTATGCAGCAGAAAGAGAATCCCAGAGCTTAAATCTTCCTGATCTTATATACTCTATTTTTTTTAAGAGTATGAGAGGAAAATCACACAAATTCCGACTAACCTGTGTGACGTTCTGGATTTTACGCAATTTACCAGACAGTGCTTCATCTTCAAAACTTTTAGTGTGTGCTTATTCAGGACATGAAGATAATGTTGATGTCCACAATGTACCATTAAAAGACATTTTCCCTTAATTAATGTGTTCTGATCAGACATCAATTTTTATCAAAATACAGTCTATAGGTATATTTTATATAAAGGATAATGGGATCCTGGCCTGTGTATTTGAAAAATCTCTGCTCTGAGCTGACAGAACTGCTGCCTTACTCTCCTACTCCTTATTTAGAAAAAAAAAAAAATCAAATAACATTTCAAACTCCTTCATGCTATAGACACACAGTAATCACAGAAGCTTCTGAGATCCTACAATTGCACTTCTGGTGCTGGTGTAATGCTTTATGCCACACTTCTTCACTTTGTGTATTTTGAAAAGTACTTTTGAAAGTTATTCTGCTTTATAGAACTTACACTGATTGGAGCTTAGAAAATAACATCTTTTTTCATGCAAATATGTGTATTTTTAATTATTAATTTAAAATAGAGGTGAAATTAGTTTCCTAGAGGACATAACAGCACTTTAGATTTATTTACTGTAACTTAAATATGTTTCAATTTAATTTGAATTTCTTTGATCCTTTTTAACATACTAGAGCATTTTCTACACCAGTTCAGCACTGTTGGTTTTGTTGTGATTTACTGTGAACAGTATTATTTGGTATATTCTTTGTATTTAATATACTTAAAGTAACATACAGTGATAGACTGAAAAATTGTCATTACATTTATTGTTTTTTTAACAGTACACTGATTCTACAGTAAGATTGGCTAAACCCTCTGTCACAGTTGTTATCACTGCTTAACGAAGCTCCATATAAAAACACAAAGAAAACCCCTTCTCCCCTCACCCCTATGTTTAACACTGCAGAAGACCTCAGGGTCATTTGTAATGACTAAAACATCTTTTATTAAACTTTTTTAAACTAATAAATATTAATGTAATTGCCATTTTTCAGGAGCCTGCTAGCTTCTGTGAAATCATATCCACTCTTAACCCACTTCCAGAAATCCTGTTTTAAAGATGTACTCTTTGTACAGTTAAAGCTGACAGTTTCAGACAGTTTTGCAGTCCAAAATCCATTCCTTTTCCCTTAATAGCAAAGGAAACTTGTTATTTCACATTTACCATGTTAGGGAGTACTTATTTTGCTGGTGGTTTTTTGGTTTTGTTTTGTTTTGTTTCGTTTTTTTAATATATTTATCTTTTCAAGGAATTGATGGAATCTGGGTTCTGCTATATGTCTTCTCTGGCTTTACAGCAAGAAATCTTCCTGGACTAAGAGACCTGACATATGTGGAATTTTGTCCCTCTTTTTGTAGGGAATAGAGACAGAGAAACCCATTTTACAAGTGGACAGATATGTATTTGCAGGAGAATATGAAGGTAGGAAAAGTAATGTGGATAAAATCTCTCCTTTTTCATATGACCCAAAGAACTTTAACATAGGTTAATTGCACTGCTAATGGTGAAACATGGTCCTGTGAGGTGCTGAATTTCTGGGTGATGTTTGTATAACACCATATGGAGGTGCAGCATGCACCCATGTTACTTACTGGAAAGTGTGCCTTGGAAGCTGACTCCAGGCTGCACCAGCTTGTATTTCAGCAGGGAAAAATGTGGGACGTAAATGCCTTGAAGGGTTTGCTGTCTCCTGTATAAGCAGGACCGACGTGTTGTGCAACCGGTAGTTCTCCATTTGCCTCAGGGTGACAACACTAGTCTGTAAGAAAATGATCTGGAATCCTCATTTGTCATGACTTTGAATGAGTGTGATACTCCTGTCCCTGAGTTGGCAGTGTGGTTATCAGTGCTGAGCCTTTGTGAGGAGCTAGAAGTTGGAATGTTCCCACCAGCTGTGCCGGTGGTTACAGTATCTACAGGTGATATAAAATAGCCTCTAAGACTTTCTCACTTTGTTTTCCATAGATACGCTGGGAACCTGTGTGGTTTTTGAAGAGAACACAGAACATGGTAATTGTGATTTCATGTCCTGTTATGTAGTGGTTGCCAGGAAGGTTAAAAGTATGTGTCTTGCTTCAGTTGATCTGGAATTCACTATAATGATTGGGGTTTGGGTATTGTTTTTTTCCCTTTCTTCATAGTAGATGCAGAAGGCAACCAAAAAGTACAGCTGAAATACAAGTGCCACACAGTGAAGAAGTTGAACATGACACGGACACTTTTGACAGAAAAGAAGGAAGGAGAAGAGAATGTTGGTTAGTACCTCTGCTTTTATGCACAGGGATGTAGATGGGGATTATACTTAGGAGTGTCAGCACTAAGTGTTTGATTCAAGAGCAAAAAGGAACTTAGAGGAACTTTCTTCTTTAGGCACCAAATGTGTATATTTAAATACAAAACACGCACAAAGAAATTTCTTCTGATCATACTGCCTTTAGAAGTGGCTAGTAGGAGATTCCTACAGAAGCGTGTATGAGCAGAGCAAACATATAACATATGCTGATGTTCCCTGGTGTATTTTTCTGTGTCATGTAAAAAAGTTTTGGCACTAATTCTACAATAAGAGGTGCTGCTCTTCTCCTTTTTTTTTTTTTTTTTTCTTCTAGTGACTTTTGGAGTCTGTAATTGTTGAAAGTCTCAGAGATCCTTAGTAAGAAGTTTTGTGTTGTATGTACTACAACTGAATTGTTCTTACTGAGTTTACAGTTAAGTGTAAATGAATAAATTAAATTACTTCCAAAGACACACCTAGCAGAGCATTCATGTTGATTTTCATTATGTAGGCAGAACTCAGTGCTCATATGATTGCTTTATTTCAGTGGTCTTTTGTCATACAGAAGTTAGTGCTTTTATTTGTTTGGATATTGAGTACCTTGCTACATATAGTAGTATTTATTAGCACTACCCTTTTGCTTTTCATTTGTTTTGGTTTTTTTTTATTCTTAAATGTTGCTCAGGCTCATCCTTAATAACGGTGAACTTAAACTAATTAAAAAACTGCTGCTAATTCTTAACTGCTGTTGTCACCAATATCAGTTTTCCTTCTTTGCCTCAGGGGGAGTGGAGTGGTTACAGATCAAGGACAGGGATTTTTCCTACAGCAGGCCTAATACGATATGCAGCTTCCTGCGTGAAAAAGATTCTGAGGAGTCCACTCAGGCCCATGACAAATTGGCTGAAGAGTTAGAGGGAGAGGTGAGTGGTGGGGGAAATTCTGATGTGAATTGTGATCTGGAGAAGCAGCACAGCTTGGAAATGGATGTCTCAATTCCTCTGCCTGACAGCCCTGCTTCTGGGGCAGAGGATTCTCCTTCTGGAAGTGTTGCCTTAGATGATGCTCCTCCATGATACTAGCTCTGATCTTTTCAGGACTTGTTCATGGAGTTAATGGGCCAATTTTTATAGGCCATGACATGATTTCAAATTTATCTGAGCAATTAATAGTGGAAAAATGGACATTGTGTTCTTGTGCATTGCTTTTATGTTTGGCTCATAGTGGAAAGGGCTTAAGTGTTTGTTTGGTTTTTTAAATGCTGATTGGGAATGTCTGTATCTCTACCTCAGAATTGAGGAGGAAATGGTTACATAATTAGAAAAGCCCCTACCTTAGAAAAATGTTGATGTATTGAACATATTTTGTTAAAAGAAAAAGAAAAATCATTGTCTAAAATAAAGACCTGAATTTCTCAAATATAGATTCACCTTGTGTGTCCTGTTCAGCCTCATACTGTATCTGCTCTTGTACTGCAGTTACTGAAAGAAAAAAAAATCAAGTGTGGCTTTTACTACTTTTGGGGGGTTTGAATACTCATCAAATTGCTTAGATTGGATTCTCTCCAGCATCCTTTTGCCCCCTTGACCAATGTGGTGCATTCACAGAATGGTTTGGGTTGGAAGTTCCTTAAAGATCAACTAGTTCCAACACTCTGCTGTGGGCAGGGACACCTTCCATTAGACCAGATTGTTCAAAGCCCTGTCCAACCTGGGCTTGAAACTTCCAGGGTTTGGGCAGCTTCTCTGGGCAACCTGGGCCAGTGTCTCACCACCCTCACAGTAAAGAATTTCTTCCTAGTATCTAATATAAATCTACCCTTTGTCAGATTAAAGCCATTTCCCCTTGTCCTGTCACTACAAGGCCCTTGTAAGAAGTCCCTCTCTAGTTTTCTTGTAGGCCCCCTTTAGGCACTGGAAGGTGCTCTAAGGTCTCCCCAGAGCGTTCTCCAGGCTGAACAAGCCCAGCTGTCTTAGCCTTCATAGGAGTGGTGCTCCAGCCCTCTGATCATATTCATACCATAGAGGGTAGTTATAGCTGGAATAACGATGGTGGGAATGTTATGAACTGGTGCTGCGGGGAGTGTTTGTAGTGCTTTCTTGTACCTTCAGTTTTTAACTTGAGAAGCAAAAGCGGCAACCTGAACAAATTTGAACAACTCTGACAGAAGGCCTGCAGGCTTTGAAATAATCAGAAACTTTCCAGATTTAAGAGTAGATACTGTTTTTAAAGTGATGCTACCACACTAGGGATGTTAGAAATAAATCTTTGGCATTTGGTCTGTATTATGTGTGAGGTCATGTTCCCCACTCGTAACAGTCTTCCCAAATAAGCAAGTTTGGGGGGAAATGGCCACATCTTAGCAGCACAGCTCTGATGTGATTCCCAGCACACCAGGGTGAGAGGAGGGTACGCAAACACGTCAGAAACAAGTCGAGCAGCCGCTGGGGCGCTGCACCCTTATTTGCCTGGTAACTGACACGCATAGCTCATAGGGCACCCGTCCCCTCACCGCGAAGCTCGCTCTGCCCATGCGCGCTGCCCCAACGCCTAGAGCTTCCTCCCGCCCTCCCCGTGGCGGATGTGACGCACCGGATGACAGTGTGTGACGACGGCGGGGCGTGCGCGTGGAGCGGCTCGGTAGCCATGGACCCGCTGGACCGGGTGGTGTGAGTATGGCGGCGGCGGGGGGAATGGGTAAACGGGAGGGCGGAAGGAAGGAAGAAAAACCGAGCGCTACCGTCTCTTTGTCGGTGTCAGACAGCTCTTGCTCCGTAAAGGAACCGCTTTGAGCGGCTGGTAATGGATTTATTTGTTTCTCTACGTGTGAAGGAGCTGTCTTCATCTGCAGGTGGAAGTACCTGTGTGAGGTTGATTGCTTCTCTGTAAAGAAAACAAATATAATGTTTCATGGAGGAGATATTAAAAGCTTTATATCTATTGGAGAAATGCAGCTCTTAAGCCACCTAGTTATTAATTTATATGAGCACTGTGCCCCTGCTAAGGCAGGTGTATCTCACCTAAGTAATGCCCGTGCTACTCTCTGATTCATGCCAATAGATGTGCTGCACTTGAGCTTTTCTTGTGGATGTTGTTGGTGGTCTTTGAGGAACTGTGTTTTCTTCTCATGTGCAAGTCTCTGACTTGGGGAGGGCAGGGCGCTCGTGTGAGGGGTAGATTTAAGCCCGTCAGTCTGTAGGAACTCTGATGTTGTTTAAGGTTTAAATTAGCAGAAACTGAAAAGCCCAAGGTCTTAAAATCTCCTTTGCTAGTTTAGGGAAACAAAGAGGAAAAGGAGTAACAGCAAAATACATTAATCTAAAACTAGGTATTTAGCACAGATTGTAATTCTGCAGGTTGGGATTAGTTCGAGTTACTGAAACAAGTTACTTGAATACACTTGTTCCGATTCTTGCTGTCTCACTGTTTTCTGCAGTTGGGTGTTGTTACTAATTTTATGTTTTTAATTCTTAATTTGTTACAGAAAACCTAAAACTAAGAGAGCAAAAAGGTTTCTTGAGAAGAGAGAACCCAAGCTGAAAGAAAATACAAAAATTGCTATGCTCATAAAAGGAGGAAATGCAAACTTAAGGGTGACTGAAGTGCTTAAAGACATTGTAAGTGGCTGGATATAGAGAATGCAGCCTTTCTTTTTTTCTTAGAATTTGCATGTTCTCAGATTCAAAATCAATATTTTTATACTCTCCCCATTTCCCAAATCGGATTGACCAGCACTCCAGAGGTGTCATTCCCTACCCTGCAGTGGAGATTATTTTCTTCCAATTTCTTTGTCAGAAGTTTTGAGCTTAATCTCTTCATTGTTATTTTTTCCATGATTGTCCAGTATAGAAGGTGAAATGTTGCAAGTTTGTTTGAAAATAAAAGGATTAAGTACAGAACTGGGACTGGATCACTCAGCTGAAGTTATATCCCAGAATCCTGTAAACTGCTTAAGTGTATTGATAAAGAGCTTTCAACCTCTTGTAAAACTCGAATTTACCAATCCTAACCAGTCTTCTGACTCCATACCTGAAAATATTGTAGAGATTCGTACACTCTTTTCTCTCCTTGCTTTGTCATTTTCTTACCACCTTATGCTGTTGATAATCAGGTTGCTGTTCAATCCCAGTTTTTCCTCATGTCCCTGGATAGAAGCAGAAAGATTCCATTACATGGCTTTGATTTTAGGTCTTTCTCAGTTATTTTGTTATTTCATTGCTTCTACAAATAAGTCCTGTAATTAACTGGGGACCAAGTTTTCTATCAATTTGAAAGGCATTATTATGATCAGGCCTTTTGAGGTGTCTTCTAGACCCATTTGCACAAGCAATCACTGTATTTTTTGTGATCATGTAAATTGCAGGGTTTTAGAAAAAGTAGTGCTGTGTACTTAAATGTTTTGGAGATAATGTGTCTAAATTTCTCTTTTGCAGTATGCTGTGAAGAAGCCTTTTGCTGTACTGTATAGAAAGTAAGTGGTCTCACTTTGACATCTTTAAGTCTGCTGACAAGGCAGCTTTTGTTAATTTCAAAGTATGAATAGCGATGCTGGCCAGCATGGGGGCTCAACCAGTGGAAAAGGATGCAGAGGGTGACTGGGATTCATCATAAATTTCGGTAGACTGGAAACAAGTTACGCTTTATTGGTGTTGGTGCTTAGCCCACTGCTTGTGCCTGCTGTTACAAAGCAGGATTTGGTAAACTTGAACAGTTGGCTTCTCCAACTGATCTGTGCAAACAGCTGGAGAGGTTCTGTCAGGTGGGTAGGCTGGAGTCCAAATTCCTATAGATTTGAGTTATAGATTATAATGATAGATAAGTCTTGCTCAAAATGGGAATCCAGTATCTGTATGTTTGTAGTACAGAAACATTAATTGTAATAACTAAATTCAATGTTAGATGAATAGGCAGAGGCAGTTTATGAAGTGTCATTGGTGGTGGTCTGGAAGCAGGCCCCAGGAGACAGGAAATATGGAGGAAAGTGCTTAAAATGGCAATGGTGGCACTGAGATGCTCTGAGCAGTATTAATAAGGTTTAGTTCAAACCATAAGCCTTATGGTTTGTACTAAACCTGAACTTCTACTGTTGGAATTCCCAGCAGAATGCAGAATTTTGGTGTTATCAGAGAACTAATTAGAAGTGCTTGTCTGGGCCTGGGTTTGGTTGGTTGTTTAAAATCTTACTTTTTTTTTTTTTTTCTTCTTCAGGAAAAATATTACCAGGCCTTTTGAGGATCAAACATCATTGGTGAGTATAAACCACTTCTCTTACGATATTTTACAGTCAAGAAGAACTTTATTGGAGGATATTTGTTTTTAATGCTCTGTGGAAAGCTAGATGAGCAACAAAGTTTATAGGGAGTTTGGATAAGTGGGAGGTTGGACTATGTCTAGATTTATGGTGTCGGTAGGAATATTTTTCCTCCAACAGAATCATGTTGTGATGACTTTGTCTTTACTGTGAATGCATGTTTCTGTAAACTGACAGGCAAATTTAGGAGCTCATCTAGTTCCAATGCCCCTGCCATAGGCAAGGAAACCTTCCACTAGACCAGGTTGCTCAAAGCCCCATCCAGCCTGGCCTTGACCACTGCCAGGGGTGGGACAGCCACAGCTTCTTTGGACTACCCATTCTGGTGCTTCACCACCCTCATAGTAAATAACTTCTTTCCGTGTATCTAGTATAAACCTACCCTGGTTATATGTCCCATCTGGATTTGGTGTTGATTCAGTGCTTTGAGTTCAAGATAATTTATGATCAGGAAGGCAAAAAATAAAGGGGCCAATCCTAAGATTATTTCTTATGCATTTGCACTTCAATCGAAGCATTACTTTAACTGCTGAAATATGTCTGTCATAAAAGCAATATATGTATTTCCTTCAAAATGAGAGAAAGAAGATAGTGATGTAGCTTTACAATAAAGACAAAATTAATTATCCCAAAATTAGTTGTTTGGTTCCTAGTGATTATGATTTTTAAAGTTTGTTCTGTGTCACTGCTAACTTGCATAGGGAAGAAAGGGTCAGCTTTTTATTGCCTGAGGCAGTTACTTAAATACCTTATTGAAGATGCATGATGAAGTTGGCAGTTTTGGGGTATTGTACTAAGTAAATTTGTGTGTGAAGAGGAAAAATATTTATGTCTACACACCAGGCACAAATGCGCTTTCTTGTCTGAAAGGGATTGTGCAACTAAAGGGGAAACATATCTAAGGAATCCCCTGTAAATCAAAAGGAAGAGGAGAGACAGCTATGGATCATTTTTTAATAGTGAGTGCTAGAGTAGCAGCTGAAATTGTATTACAGTCGAGTTAAGGCAGTTTTAATGCATTAAAAAACCATTGTGGTTGTGGCCTAGCTACACCAACATAAAATGTTGCTTCATCTGCATTAAAACTGATGCTGAGGTGTTTCAGTATGTGCTTCTGTTTCTGGCATGAAGCACAGTTGGGCAACCATCTCTAAAATACCGTGAATGGAATGGAAAACTTAAGAGTAGGTAGCAAGGAAAGATTTGTAACATCATTTGCTGAAGCTATACCTCTTACAGTCCCATAGCTGACTGACTTGGTTTCACAGTCACATAGGAACTAGCTGATCCTCAGCTGAGTTTTTAATAAAATATCATACTTCTGTTAGAGAATTCACATATATCAGCACACAGTGATTACCAGAGTTCTATGAGCAAATGTTTCAAGGGGAGTCCCCTCTGGTCTGTTCTTGATTTGTCTAGTCAGTATTGTTCAGGGACCTGATGGCAGAGATCAGTGCTGAGCTGCACGATTTGTATGTGCAGCTATTCCAGCCTGCGTTTGCCCCTGGGGACGTCTCTCCTGACCTCCTGAGGGGCAGAGTTGCATTGTCCTCTCTGAGCTGCTGCTGTTGCAGAGGTAGGAGGTGGTGCAGTGGCATTTTCTGCTTCACAGCTGCCAAGTGCAAGTATAGAAACTCTGGTGCTTCTAGAAAGTACAGGATAAATAGCATGTGTGTATATCTAGGAATCATGGTTGATGCACAGAATGAGGGGCTGCCTAGAGAAGCAGCAGTGCATAAAAAGGTTTTGGAATTAGACATCCTCAGAAAGAATTGCTGTTATAGTATTCTGACTAGAACTAACATAATAGGTTATCCATCTACTCAACCTGGAGAAAAGATACCAGTGGTGATAGTCACCATTGGCTTTGTTTTAAGTAGTGTCTTAGCCTTAAGTAATCAATAGACACAAAGTTACTCTGTAGTAGTACTCTCGTTCCCAAGTGTGATATTTGCAGATGTTCCTAGGTTTGCTGTTGAGGGAATTAACTGGATGCTCAGAAGCTGTTAGGCAAAGCAAATATGCTGCATAAAGCTTATCTAGGTGACTAAAATGAGGCATTACAACTGTAGACAACTTGCAAATACTTATCCTTCAGGCAAGGAGAAGTGGTTGAAGGTATTTTAGCTAAAAACGAATAATGAGGAATTATGAAAAGGGGCATTACATATAGAATGGAGAGAAAAAGTTACCTGGCTTAATCTTTAAGACTGCAATGGGAAATAGAAATGATTTGTTATTTGAACCTTGAATCTAGCTGTCAATTTTAGCTTATGTGAACTTGGCCTTGCTCAAAACTCTTCTGGTAAGTGCAGTTGCTCTTCTCATTAAGCAGCTCCTAAACTCATGTGTTTGTGACATGTATCTTCACAAAGTATTTTAAATGCTTCAAAGTGGAACTCATGAGTTTTGTTCTTTCCTCAACTGTAGGAATTTTTTTCCAAGAAATCAGATTGTTCTTTGTTTCTGTTTGGCTCTCATAACAAGAAGCGACCGAACAACCTGGTAATAGGTAAGTTATTTCACTTGGATTTTTATTTGAGGAAAAGGTCTGATTTTTCGATGAATATTTAAATAGCTGGATTTTCTTGTTTTTCACTTTCACAGGTCGCATGTTTGACTATCATGTCTTAGATATGATTGAGCTAGGCGTTGAGAAGTTTGTATCCCTAAAAGATGTTAAGGTAAGGAATTGCTAATTCAGTATTTCCATGACATCTACTGGTGGTTTTTTTGGGGTGTTAGCTTTTTCTGTGCTTTGAAGTAAGGACAAGAGCTGTTCAAAAAAAGTATTTCATGCAGTCTATGAGGATTGCCGATTTGTGGATGCCAAAATGGTATTTTTTTATGTACTGCTTTTTACTTTATTTTGGTTGTTTTGAGCAAGCTTTCAACTTTCTTTGCAGATTCTTTTTTTAGACTCAGTTTATTCCTTATATTTTCCTTTTTAATGAAAGAGTTACATTTACAAAATTCTGTAGTCACGTTCTGCTTGTGGTAGGTTCCTCTATAAACTGTCACAGGCTTTGAAAAATGAAATCTCTTTTTCCAAATTGTAATTAGAGAGGGTCACTCTGCTGACTGAGATGATTCTGAAACTTTCTTTAGCTTTCAGTAACACGTAAATGGCAGTTTTCAGAGGACAATACTTAATTCAGGCAGGAAGCTAACATCTTGATTATTTAAGCCTAGAGAAAATTCACCTTTTATGGCTATGTTAGACTTATTTTGGCAAGATTAAAACATATTTCATATGTGTGTACATTTGTATCAAGCAGTTCATACACTGCAAAATAAGGAATTTTTTATCATCCCTATTCTTATCACAGTGTATAAACTGGCAGGACAGTCTAGCGAGTTAGTGAAGAAATTACTGTTTACAAAGGTGAATATTACCCTTGAAGTCAGATTGTGATGTGTATCTACACAACACTGTTTATAGCAGGAAAGTTATAGTTAAGTAAATTTATTTGTTGGACAGAATTAAAATCAGGTGATTGACTGAACTGTAACTTGCCTTTTTCGTGTACTCTCTAGTGTCAGAAGTACAATGGACTTGTTGGCCTGTAATTTTAGTTTTCTTGTTAGTAGTTGTGAAATTTCACTCATTTTCACCAGAAGGTATTATCTATTACATTTTATAGTAAAGAAGCTCTCTTTTGTTAATCGAGCACAAAGAATAACACAATTCACCCTTTTAGATACAAAGTCCACCCATACGCCTACAGTGGTGTTCAGTGAGAAAACAAAAATGCCTATTCTGTCCATACTGATCCCAGGTCACAGTAGTTTTTCATTCAGTGCTGAATGGCTAACCAGATACTATGGCAATAATTTGTTCCCTGATGGGGTCTAAATCTTTGGTCTGTTTTAAAATTCTTGTTCCACAGAACAGTAAGTGTCCTGAAGGAACAAAACCGATGCTGATATTTGCTGGTGACGTGTTTGATGTAAATGAAGAATACAGAAGACTGAAGAGCCTTCTTATTGGTCAGTATTTTGATTATGTGAGCGATAAGATTGCATAAATCTGTAGTAATGTGTTCTGTTGGGAACTGCTAGTTTGTCAATAAATGTTTGCTTATATTCAGCACAGAAAGAAAACAAGAACAAGTACTTGCAGGTTTCATGTCATGTGAAATTAAAGTTAACTAATCATCATGCCTGTTACTGGGGGTGGGCGGGAGGGGAGTCTAGCCTAAAAGGCTCTCAAGTTGAAACTTTGTGTTCACTAAAATTCATTACTTTGTGGGGAAAAATAATTTTTGAAAAAGTCTTTACCATGTAATCACTCTGGGTCACTGCTTTTCTAACCAAATAACATTTTTGAAGTATCTAATCTGAAATCAATGGATTAAGATCAGAAATCAATGGATTAAGTTTTTGCTTACAAAAAAGTCAAATCCATATAATTGAACTTGTGTTTATATGATGAAAGGGTTTTCTTTTGGAAATGTGACCAATTCTTATTAAAGTGCCATTGATTAGAGTACTTGGAAAGAGCAGGCATAGTAAAAAGCAGCCTGTAGATAATAGCTGTGTCATAACTTCAAAGCAGGCTTGGAGCTTAGTCAAAAACTGGCATCAAGTTTTTTACTGTCTCAAGGTCGGAGGCTCTGGAAGATAAAGCACATTGTGGGGTCTTTCCGGGGAACTACAAAAATGATTATACTTAGGGTAGCTTCTGAGGACATGGAAGTCATATGGCACTGTGTCTCTTGACACTTAAAAACCGCATCTAGCTTGGTAGAACTAGGCCTAGTAAGTAGGATGTTGTATTTTTTCTTTTTAATAGGTTTCTTAAAAGTAGATTATTTTTTAAAGCTCTGGTAAAGTACTGAACCTTTCCCAATAAGAGCAGCTTAGTTCTTTCAGTTCCATTCTTAGGTTGTACCAATTCATAATCTTACAGCTTTGCAAGATCTCCCTTTGACATAAAATAAATATTAGTTGGGCTCCTTTTTTTCTAGGCAAACGAATGATTGCTCTTTAGAAACAGGGTTGGGGTGTGGTTGTGGGTTTGGTTGGGTTTTTTTTCCATTAGACATTAATTTTTATTCCCCCTTAGTGGTGTAATGCCTTAAAGCAAGGTATTTCCTCTGCAATGACTGAAAAAGGAGCAGAAAAGGAGAAAATTTCCATCCTCTCAGTACAGCTGACTGGGTTTTGGGGATAGATGAAGGGCTAGTAACTGTGCTTATATGTATTTGAAGGTAGTGAATATTGACTATCTCTTTCTCTTCTGATTTTTGTTGTCTGCTGTGTGGCAGTGCATTTATCACAGTATCACAGTATCACAGTATGTTAGAGATTGGAAGGGACCTCGAAAGATCATCTAGTCCAATCCCCCTGCCGGAGCAGGAACACCTAGATAATGTTACACAGGAATGCATCCAGGCGGGTTTTGAATGCCTCCAGGGAAGGAGACTCCACAACCTCCCTGGGCAGCCTGTTCCAGTGTTCCGTCACCCTCACTGAGAAGAAGTTTCTTCTCAAGTTTAAGTGGAACCTCTTGTGTTCCAGTTTGTACCCATTACCCCTTGTCCTATCATTGTTTGCCACTGAGTAGAGCCTGTCTCCGTCCTCGTGACACTCCCCCTTTATATATTTATAGACACTGATAAGGTCACCCCTCAGTCTCCTCTTCTCCAAACTATAGAGACCCAGCTCCCTCAGTCTTTCCTCATAAGGGAGATGTTCCACTCCCTTAATCATCTTTGTTGCCCTGCGCTGGACTCTCTCCAGCAGCTCCCTGTCCTTCTTGAACTGAGGGGCCCAGAACTGGACACAATACTCCAGATGCGGTCTCACCAGGGCAGAGTAGAGGGGAAGGAGGACCTCTCTCGACCTACTAACCACCGCCCTTCTAATACACCCCAGGATGCCATTGGCCTTCTTAGCCACAAGGGCACAGTGTTGGCTCATGGTCATCCTGTCATCCACTAGGACCCCCAGGTCCCTCTCCCCTACACTGCTCTCTAACAGGTCATTCCCCAACCTATACTGGAACCTGGGGTTGTTCCTGCCCAGATGCAGGACTCTACACTTTCCCTTGTTATATTTCATCAAGTTACTCCCTGCCCAACTCTCCAGCCTATCCAGGTCTCGCTGGATGGCAGCACAGCCTTCTGGCGTATCAGCCACTCCTCCCAGCTTAGTGTCATCAGCAAACTTGCTGATAGTACACTCAATTCCCTCATCTAAATCATTGATGAATATATTAAATAATACCGGTCCCAGTACTGACCCTTGAGGCACTCCACTAGTCACAGGCCTCCAACTAGACTCAGCCCCATAGACTACAACTCTCTGGCTTCTCTCCTTCAGCCAGTTCGCAGTCCACCTCACTACCTGATCATCCAGTCCACACTTCCTCATTTTAGCCGTGAGGATGCTGTGGGAGACTGTGTCAAATGCTTTGCTGAGGTCAAGGTAGACCACATCCACCGCTCTGCCATCATCCATCCACCGTGTTATTTCCTCATAAAAGGCTAAGAGATTGGTCAAACATGATTTCCCCCTGGTGAAGCCATGTTGACTGCCCCTCATAACCTTCTTATCCTTGATATGCCTTAAGATGGTACCAAGGATAAGGTGTTCCATCACTTTCCCAGGGATGGAGGTGAGGCTGACCGGTCTGTAGTTACCCGGGTCCTCCTTCTTGCCCTTTTTGAAGACTGGAGTGACATTTGCTTTCCTCCAGTCCTCAGGCACCTCTCCCGTTTCCCAAGACTTGGTAAAGATGATGGAGAGTGGTCTAGCAATGACTTCCGCCAGTTCCCTCAGCACCCGCGGGTGCATCCCATCTGGACCCATGGATTTATGGATGTCCAGATTGCTCAACTGGTCTCTAACACATTCCTCATCGACTAAGGCAAACCGCTCCGTTAACCTGACTTCATCTAAGGTCTCAGGGGTACAGGGCTCTTCAGGACTGCCCGCAGCAGAGTAGACAGAGACAAAGAAGGCATTCAGTAACTCTGCCATCTCTTTATCTTCTGTCACCAGGGCACCCATCCCGTTCATCAGTGGGCCTACATTGCCTCTGGTGTTAGTTTTGTCTGCCATGTATTTAAAAAAGCTCTTTTTGCTGTCCTTGACCCTTCTTGCCAGGTTTAATTATTTATGATGCAAGTCCTTAGAATGCAGCTCATGAGAGTCTAATAACTTTTTATGCTTAGATTTATAAAATGTTTCACTACTTACTACATTGCCTGTTCTCTAGTTCTGTTATTGCATACCCATTTAATACTAAAAAGGGAGAGGCACTGCCTGACTTACTTACACACTTTCTAAAATGTTGGTTTCTAGGAGACATCTACAATTTCAGATTGGCCATCAGCTTGTTCTTCATACAGTCTTCTTCACACAGGCTTCTTTGACTCAGTCTCAGAAGTTTGAACATTCCTTCTGGCCAAGAAGGGGGATGGCTGGGAAATGTCTGGGACAGAGTTTGAGCTCCACTAATGCTAACTATAGCTACATAGGTTACAGTGTTACCAGCTTTTTCATAGAAATTGATACAAAAAGAAGTGTATAGACTCATGTTCCAAAATAATTCAGGAATTTAGTCTGGAAATTGGGAGGTCCTGTGAAGCTCTCTGCAGGAAAAAGTAAATTAGAAGTTCTGGAAACATGTTGAGGACAAGTGGGAGAAAGGACTAGGGAATGGAAAGAAAGGAGAAAGCAAGTCTAGTCCAACCAAAGCAAGAGTTGTAAATTAAGAGTACATTAAAAAAAACTTCAGCTCTCTGGGCATCCCAGAGCCTGAGGTTTCTGCAGCTGTTCAGCAGTGCCAGGAAGCAGAAATTCCTGACCACCTGCGTTTGTTGGAAGAGATCATCCTGTGGGTGAAAAGATGTTTTGATGCCACAGGAAAATATGAAAGGGAGATGTTGCCTGTAAAACCACTGTAAATGTTAGCTTTCATGCCCACAGAGAACTAGTCAGAGGGCAAATACATGCCAGAAGTGACCAAAGTATTTTATTTGCCACTTTATCTACAAGCTCGACCCACAAGAGGAGGATTTAGTTGACCACAGAAGTTTCCTGGCTAGACTCCAGCTGCTGTCTGCCAGCAAGACTTTGTTTTGGATGTCACTTCAGTGCTGATACTTTTGAAGAAGGTAGTGGAGGAAAAGACAGCTAGCCCAGGGATCTGAAAGTGGGACAGAGCGGAAGAGACTGATGTGTTTTGCATCTGTTAGCATTTCTCCTGTGTTTCAGCATTACCCTGTCATGTTTATTAGCACACCTTGTTCCCATAGCCAAGGTCACATTCTTTCTCCGCCCTCTGCATATGTTGGACAGATTGCTGTGCTTACTGCAAGCTCTCTGATTGCACAGTATTTTTTTTCATAGCCTGATACAAGAACCTCATTAGGGGCAGCTCGTTTTGCATTTAAGCTGTATTTCGGTGTTCTCTGTGCAAACTAAGCAAACTGTGTTGCTTAGTAAATAGAGAATATTTGCGGTGATGAGTACTGCTTTGCCTGAAGGACAGAAGTGCTTTGTTGTGTGGGAGGTACGAAAGAAACAATATATCTAAACTTTTTCCCAAGTCAGAGAGGGAAAATACAGATAAGAGTAGATTATAATATGCAGTTTTCTATCTGTTTTGTACTGGCTTTTATCCTTCTTTGTACTCTTCCAAAATCTGACTCTAATTAAGAATCTTAAGTATCAGGTTTTTTGAATGATGTCTTTAAACAGATACCTGAACTAGTGCTTTCTCCCTATTGATCTATGCTTCACTGAGCTTAAACTGGCCTAAAGATACATTTAATTTTTCTGACTTTAGAGCTGAGTATTTAAAGGAATAGACAATGCAGTTATCCCAATTAGCTTAATAAAGCTAAGTTACTGCTCTGAAAGTATGTTTGCTCTTCTCCATGAACTTACCATGTATGTTGCTAACAAACAGTCTCTGGGAAGTCACTGTATGCCTGTCAGGGTTTCTACACGTTTGGTTTCACCACTGCAGGAGCTAACATGTGCAATGTTAGGTTTCTGTGCTGTGTTTTGGCAGGACTACAGTTTTAAGTAGCAGCTGTTTGTGAGAGTCACATAAAGCATACAGATTCAGCTTCTCGAGAGCCATCCCTTGTATAGCCTCGTGTAGTTAAAAGCAGTAAAAGTATCTGTATAGGCAAGGAGTTCACATCAGTGGTGTGATGCAGGTCCATTACGAAGTAAAGCAATTTGTTACAGTCATCTGCTGGTTTGATTTTCAGCCAAGAATGCTGGCATTTATTCTTTCAGATTTCTTCAGAGGTCCTACCGTGCCCAATATTCGTCTGGCTGGTTTAGAGTACGTCTTGCATTTCACAGCTGTAGATGGGAAAATTTATATGCGAAGCTATAAGTGAGTATGTGTTTTATCTATTTGCTTGCTTCTTGGTACATGCCATGGTTTAAGCCCAGCTGGTAACTCAGCACCACGCAGCCGCTCACTCATTCCTCACCTTCCTGTTCGGGTGGGATGGGGAGGAGAATCGAAAGAACGTAAGCCCCACAGGTTGAGATAAGAACAGTCCAGTAACTAAGGTATAATATAAAACTACTATTGCTACTAACAATGATAAGGAAAATAAGGGGAGAAAATGTAAAACTAAAAGGGGAAGGGAAAAAAAACAATAAACACAAGTGATGCACAATACAATTGCTCACCACCCACCAACCGATACCCAGCCTGACCTGAACAGCGATCTTGGCCTTCTGGGTAACTCCCCCCAGTTTGTATACTGGGCATGATGTGCTGTGGTACAGAATACCACTTGTAGAGCAGAAGGAAAACACTTAAACCCTAAACCTGCTGCTTCCTTTCTTGTTGAGCTTTCCCTGCTAGCTAGGAGGATTGCTCTTTTGTGTGGTTGGATTAGTAGGGTGGTGAGAATTAACTTGGTGAATTCAGAGTACTGTCTTAGACTTCATAGGCTTAGTCTGTTCTCAGGCTAATTCTAGGACTCTCCTCATTTAGGTGTTTGTTTGGAGAATGACAGGTGGATTGCTGCAGCCAGCGATACGCTAGGAAAAACAGGAAATAGCAGAACAAGACAGTCTTGTCTCAATGTGTTGGTGTTCAGCCTCACAGATCATGGCCTTGCCTTAGGAGGCTGTGAGCATTTGTAGCTTGTGTTCAATGTGACTTTGATTTCTCTCTACCTTTATGAGTCTCATTCTTCAAATCAAACAAACAAAAAATGTTATTAGTTAGTGCTCAGGTTATTTTGCTGTAAACTGTAGTAAATGTTTTTCATGGCTGTTAATACCCAGGCCAGTATTTTGAATTTGAGGAATTATATGGCTTTCAGGTTGCTGGGACTGAGTTTTAACAGTAAGACTGATAATACTGTGTGTTCAAATTGTGGTGGGATACGTTTAAGATATTACAAATTGTTATTGCCAGACATCATCCTCAATAATGTGTTAGCGTTAGCATTAGCTAATTAGAGTTAGGATTAGAGTTAGCATTAGCAGTTGTTTTTAATAGTCTTCTGAACTACAGGACTGAACCTGCCCGTTAGGTAAAGACGGATGAATCTTCATCACAGAGGACAATGTTGATTTTGATTGGCTTTCCCTTCTAGGGTTCTTCTGAAGAAATCTGGCTGTAAAATACCAAGAATTGAACTGGAAGAGATGGGACCTTCATTAGATCTGGTTATGAGGAGGACACATTTAGCTTCAGACGACCTTTATAAGCTGTCTTTAAAGCAGCCGAAAGCCCTGAAGGTATGTACCTTGGAAAATACGTTACTTCCAGATCTGTATGTCAAGAGCAATAAAAGCTGAAGTATTAATTATTTGACCAAAGCTTACTTTTATATATTACTTTTTTGTGAGACTTCTGGAGCCACAGCACTTCTGTGATGATCAGCTGGCGTACAGACACTGCTCTGGAAGCCCATAGAACGTACAGATCAGATCTTAATCTCTAAACTCCACTGTATGTGGCCTCGCTTTTAGGCACTTTACTCTCACCCAAACTCCTGGCACTCTCTGCTGCTCAGAAATAACTGATGTTGTTCTTCCCTTACAGCCTAAGAAGAAAAAGAATATCTCCCATGATGCGCTCGGTACAACTTACGGCCGAATCCACATGCAGAAGCAAGATCTTGGGAAACTGCAGACACGGAAGATGAAAGGGTTAAAAAAGAGGCCAGCAGAGAAGGCAGCTGAAGATAGTGGGGTTAGTCCCAAAAAGTCAAAATCAGCTTGATAGTCAGGAACAGCTTTGAAATCTTTTTGTACCTTCAAATTTGGTATATATACTGTAATACAAATGTGTCAGACGTAAGATTTAGATGCTGTTAACTTTAGTTTTATACAGAAGTCTTTTTAATGGTTTGTCATTTTAGAGGGACAGGGGGGTATTGAGCTTTAACACAGAACTTGGTAATTTAAAATAAAAAATGTGATATAACTTGCTTAGTTTTCTGAAGCTGAATATTTATTCTCTTGGTGTTAGCAAACATATGCTAGTCAAGCAAGTGACTCATTTCCCAGACAGTTTTATGGATGCTATGTTGGGAACCCATGGTCAATCAACTCATCTTGTAAATTCTACACTGGACCAGAGTAGTGTATATGCATTAATATACACAGCACAACTTCTCTGCTCATTTATTGTTTCTGTATTTCAAATTTTGCATGACTGCACTACTCTATAAATTCTTTTCTAAAGTGGGAGCTCACAGTATGTGTCTGATACCAGACTTAGGTCTGTAACTATCACACCAAGGCCTACTTTACACTTGCAGAACTGGGAGTGATTACAGTGTTTTTATGGTGTTCATCACCATGGTAGCAAAGTACCTGATGTTTGTTTTAGGCAAATGAAACCTTAACAGTTTGGATTTCAGCCTTTGATGCTTGATTTGTGCTGAGAATGGAAGCATGCGAAGCAACCATGAAAGGTGGAAGTCTGTTCGTCTTACTCTTGCTTTTCTTCTAACTTTGTGCTCATGAGTTAGCGAAGACTCCTCGGTTAAAGACTCTTGTTTAAGAGCTCAGTGAGACTCTGGTGTGGTTTTCCATGGTTTGGAACATACTGAAAAACCTTGTTTTTCCTTCTACTTGTTTCTGTGGAAGCTATTACTCTGCCCCTTAGCATAATTATGATAAAAGTATGCATACTTTATCATGAACATAATAAGCTTGCTCATCCTAGTTACATTTTTAATACTTGATCTTTTCTTATCAGTTTTCTCAGTGTAGTTGTCTGATGTGTCACGTTAGAAACGGGCAGTTTGTTATTTTCACTGCTGCACCATAGATGGAAGCTGCTTTCCATGTGTGAGAGCTGAGCTGTAACTGTGACTGCAAATGCTACACATGATGTTCCTGCTATGCTGGTTTGATAAAGCTTGTGTGAAAGAGAAAGCACTTCAAAAGTTTGGGATCTTTTTGAGGGCACAGACATTGATCTTCCATGTATTAACTTATTTTTATGGTGATTTTTATGAACTTAACAGCTGTAAAAGAAATAGTAAAAGCATGCCTGTCATCATAAAAGACTTGGGCTTTTTAATTGTATTTTCCTAATTTGGAAGCTAATTTTGTTGCTCAATTTGGTGTTTAAAACCTGAATTTCATAGCATTAAAGTAGACCATCTAACCTGTTATTTCTTAATGTAAAAAGTGAGACGGTTGTTCAGTAGTAGCCTCCAGAGATAAGCTGTTGCATCCTGGCATTGATTTTGTTTCATGCTGGGGCACATGAGGGCTACTGCACCTTCTGGCAACTGTGTATGGTTACTGTGCACTTTCAGAGATGCAAAGTGCTTGAGCAGAGGAAATGGGTCTGCAGAGAGAACCCAGGTGCATCTATTCACCCTATGCGGGGTCTTCTTGCTGACTACAGGTGCATCCTGAAGTGCCTGATGTCCCACATCTGGGGCTGTTTGTGTTAACAACCTTTTATTTGTAGTTCTTGTACTGGTGCAATACAGCCACATGTGGACAAAAATGGTTGAGATATGTGAGGCAAGGAGAAATTCTGTGAGGTTTGCTTGTTCACTTTCAAGTTACATTGCTAGCAAGGATTAAAACTTGCTCCGTTTCTAGTAAGTACATTGCACTACTCAAAGTGTTGCTGTTTTGGTGCAGACTCTTGACTGGGAAGCAGAAATGTTCTTTTTTTTTTTTCCTCATGACACAAATGAACCACTCTGATTTCTGCATGACGAGATAGGATGAAGCCAAATTAGCAACTGAGTTCACCTCACTTCTTTCAGAGAGGTTTCAACCTTGCTGTGAAGCACTGATTAAGCCACAAGGCTGGTGGCTAATGTGATTTTAGATGTACAGCATGTACAACTGCACAATGTATGGTTGGCAACTGCTTCATTCTGAATATCTGATTTAGCTCAAGCTGAATGGAGATAGGAGGGCTAAATATAACGTTTCTGGTGGCATGTTCTTATTTTCCAGACTCTTTTAAGGTGTGATGAAATTTGTCAGGTGCTGCAATGTAGCTGTGTGCATGAAGAACGTGCCCAAAGGGCAGCTGATGAAAGGGGCTTTGTCTTGCCTCAACTGCCCCTTGCTTCCAGAGTTCACCAGGCTCTGAAAACACATAAACATGCCCCGGGGGTCTGCATGGCTTGGGCAGGGCATAACTGGCATGTTCACCCCTTTCCCCTGGCTTTCATCTTCTTACCTCCCAATGCACTGAAGAGATAGCTTTATTTGTGGGTTGAGTGTGGTAATAGATTTGGTTTCAAGAAAATCCCTGTGGGCAAAGTGTGGCTCCCGATGTTGTACCTGTGCTGTAAAATGGAGGTGGAGCTGCTAATTGGCAGTCAAGCATGTGCCGTCTTTAGCTGGCAGGATGGCAATAGCAGGGAGGGTGTGATTTGTGCCTCTGTATGCTAAACTGTGCCACTGGCATATTCGTTGCTCCTCTTAAAGAGTCTACTGTTATTATGGATAAGTAATGATAGACAGAATTTAGTCTACCTGCACTGCAAGTTCACTTGGCTGTCTTTACGTGTGGTGCAATTTAAAAAAGTAGGAAGAGAGGTAGATACAGTTAAGTGGCCATGATATGGTAGGTTCTTGAGATTCCCGCATTTTTGGGAATCAGTCCTGGACACATACAATCACAGCCTTAGCCATTTGCTAGCCTGATGTGACAGACTGAGCACAGAGCAGCAAGTGATGTGTGTTTGAAAAGAGCATATGAACTCCTTTCTGTTTCCTGGATTTTGTGGGTTTGAGTTTATCTTTGCTGTTCCTTAGCAACCTTATTTGTTTCCACTCAGTGCTTTCTGGATTTGACTGTGAGGGTTTCCTCCCTACACTGGCTTGGTTGCAGCTGGGAGGGTTAGCAAAGAGTGTGAAGGGAGGACATTGCAGACACACCAGGTATCGCACTGACTGCTGCATCCTCCAGCTAGGGAGGAAAAGGCTGACCATTTCTTGTTCTAGATAATGTCAAATATAAGGAAACTAGAGCAAAGCTGTGTTAGAGGTACTTTTACTATTAAAAAGAGGGAAGTGGAAAAAGCAGCTGTGCATAATTTATATTCTATAGCCATATGAAATACATACTGACATGTGTATTACCTGTGCCACAGATAGTTCTCCCCTATCTCCAAGTATAATTAATCTCTTGCTCTTGGACTTTGCTAAAGTGCCTCTAGCAGTAGTGACACATCCCAGCTGCAATCCAGAGGCATAGCTGAGAAATAGGTCAGTTGTATCAGAAGTCAGGTTTCCTAAAAGAATACAGGGAATAGAGCCACGAGGCTCCTGAATGTGAAGCCTGTGTAGGATTGCCTTCCTAAATGGATGAATGTTCAAAGTTAACAATATGGCTAATGCTGTAAAGGAAAAACAGCTTTGCTGTTATGCATCTATGCAGAAGACCGCGAGGGGGAGCTGAAATTTTTGGGAGACAGAGCTTCTGAGGGACCTAGGGGGGGGAACTGATTATCTTGGAGATCATGGTAGGCAGGAGGAATCTAAGTGCTCTGTGGGCAAAGAAATGAAGATAGGCACTGGGAGAGAAATTTCTCAGTAATCTGGGATTCAGCCCTATCTTAAATAACATGGGAATCATCTACTTGGAGCCGTCACTGAGCACGGTACATGTATGCTGATTGAGACAGTTCTAAGGCACCTGTTCTTCATCCATTCTTGTTTTCTTTGACTTTCAGTCCTGTTCAGTCTACTTGATCTTTCTATTGCCCTGCTTCTCGAATATAAGCACAAAGTAATACAGGAGATGTAGAAGTGAAGTTTTGAGCAGAACTTAACAGAAAGCATGTGTGGTTAATGACATTCCCCAAATTCTCATTATGTTCCCCTTTTCCCTTCTGATAATCCCATAATTCTTCCTCTGATGTCACACACCACCTATAAAACCTGGATTTCTCACTCTGTCCATGATACCAAAGTACACCCATATGGGCCCTAGCTACCTTCTATTTTGATTGCTGCAGTTTTCTCCTTTTGACTTCTTTTATTCTCACAGCCTTCAAACCAGACACCGCTGCACTGACCCGTTTCCTGCTGTTTGTCCAGATCATCTCTTTGTACAGGCAAGGAGTTTCTTGTGCTTTATTGTTTGTGGTGATACATCATCAATCTCTTCTTTCTGCTCTGCTAGTGGTCACAATATCAGTCTCCCTCATCTTTCTCAGATGTCTTCTGTACTCTGAACTGACCATTATTTGCTTAATCAGCTTTCAGTTAATCACTGTAACAACCAAGGCACTTACTGAGAGCATCTGGGCAAAGTGAAGTAAGGTACTGGGGAGCCACATTCAGCATGAGAAGTCAAGCTACAAAGCCAGTGGTCAGGAGCCAGAATCAAAAGAGGGGATGAGATGAGCTTTCCTGTCAATTACAAGATCAGGCATGTCAGTCGGGCAGGGAAATCTGCAGGAGATGTCTAACCCATTTCTCCATTCTCCATTCTCAGCCCGTTTCTCCAGTTGTTACCAAATGGGAGAATTTGGGCAAGAGCACTGACCTGTTGGTATCAGTGGAAGGGGTGCCAGGCTTTGCTCAGCACACTCAGAAGGAGATCTGTGGTTGATTATCCCCTGCCAGCGGGTTGTGCACATATGCCTTGTGTTACATTGCCTGTGAAGATCTCAGCAATGCACATGAAAAAAAATATTTCTTTTTTTGCATATACAGTGCTGCAATGCAAAGAAAGATGGATGTAAAAATCTATCATCTCCCTTTTTCCTAACATTGATGTGTGCTCCATGGAGAAGGCTGGTGCTTGGCACATGTGCAGTAAAAGAACCTTCACTTAAGGCTGAGCCCTGTATCGTCAATTCTAAGGCACCTTTAGATGCTGGTGTTATTTGTCTCTTTTTTAAAAACTCTAAAATTCAACCATTGCTTCCTGCTGCTGGCCTCTGGACAGGGGAATTACTGATGCTGCCTTATGCTCTGAAATTATGGCTGGCAACAGTGATTACGTTAGCTGTAGATAGGCATACTGGGGCCTAATGTCAGCTGTTGCCAAAAGATAGTTTAAAAGCCTCTTCCCTCCCTGCCTCTTTTTCAGATAAAGGCATATTCCTTGTACTAAGTTGGGGCTTCTGTTTTCCTAATCCAAAAAAAGTCCATGAGTAGTTAGTTATATCTTTTCAGTTTTGATTGAAAGTTGCTAATGTTTTTCTCCAGTGGAAATGGAGCTCCTTGGCACAATAGTTGTTCTCTCCTCTGGAGGAAGTTGAAGTGAAAGCAAAGATTCAGGCAAAATGTCTCTTCTCTATCCTGGTGTATCACGCTCTTGCGTGTGATAGAAACTAATCCAGTGCAACAAAGCAATGTGTTTAGCAGTATAAATTCAGATGAAACATCTCTAAGCAAAGTTGAGCTCTCCTGGTTCTCAGGAGCAAAGAGGTGTTTGGTGTGTGTCACTGCCAAAAGATGGGCACTCACATCTGCAGTATCAGGAAATTTGTATTGGGATGGTTTGCTGCAAAAAGTGCAATGCAGAACTTGCATCCATCTCCCATCACAGCCCTTTATTTTTCTAATTGAAAACAGATTATTACAGAGAATTAATTAGCCCCTTCAAAGTGCACATGCAGCCTGCCCATAAAGAGTAATAAACTTTCAATTCATAAGAGGTAATAGATTTCAGGTCCTGTTGGCTCACTTTGCACACAGGAATAATCCCTCGCTCATCAGGGTTATTTGAATTAGGCAGACTTGACTTTTTTATGCCATTAAAAGAAGTTTGTATGTGCCCCTTTTTCTTTCTTCACATTCTTTCTTGTCTGAGCATACCTGAGATGCCTAAAGGCTTCCAGGATATCATAGGCAAACAGCTGTTCAGCTCAAGTGTGCTCTGTAGTTGATGAGTGGGGGATTTCTGTTTATATTCCAGAGGCTCGCTTGAAGAAAGATTCAGAGACCTGGTGACTGCTGAGCATTTCCTTCTCGTTTTCCTTCCAGAGAGAGGGATACCCACCCTTCCTGCCGTTAGCTTTCTCCAGTTTCTCCAAGGCAGTAGGTCATACATAATGATATTTCTTAAAAAAAAAAACAAACAAAACTGCAAACCCAACGTGTTATAGATAACACCATGTGGTTCAGCAGCAGTGCTGACGTAAGGGATTGTGAAGGTGCAGCTGTTTGTGGGACTGGCATCCAGATGAGGCAATTGAACTAGCTTTAAAAAGTGTGGGGTGGGGGGAAAAAAGGAGAAGTTCTTTGTTTTGAAGCTAGATCAGTTCCCTGATCTGGCTCAGCACAACTGGGTGGTGCACTGTGTGCTAGGGAGGAAGCAAAAGGCTGGGAGTGGGATGGGAGACGTGAGGTAACTCCTGAAGCTTGTGCTGCTGCCTGCAGTATTATCTGTATGATGGTGCCTGAGTTTGAGAATGACTGCGGTTCAGTCTGTGCTTAAGGAAACCAGTGGTTTTGGGGACCTGCATTTGCCAGTGAGCTTCACATCTTTCCCTGTGATCATTACTTTTAACATCATTTTGCAGATGTGAAAGCAAAGGTCAACTGACTTTTTCAGAAGAGAATTGCATTGTGAATAAAGGTAAAATGTGAAAGTTGTGAGTTCCCTATCGGTGTGGCCTCTGTTGGTGGCTTCCATGTGCCTTCCTGGGGCTGGAGTCTGTGCTGTCTGTGCTGTGGTGGAGCTGGAGCAGCTGTCAGCAGTGCTTGGCCAGAAAGAAGCTGACCTAAATGGAACTACTCACTATTTGTGATTTTATTTACAAAGAACACCTCACAGAAATGTTGGATTTTTTCAACAAAGCCCACCACCACCCATCCCTGGTCACTAGTAAGAGAGATACTAGTTCATCTGTGTGCCTTTTAGCACAACACAAAGAAATCTGTTCAGGTTGGTTTAAAGGGAACCTCCAAAATAACATCCAGGAAGCTTCTCCTTTCCATCACCTTCTGACAGAACTTATGTGGCTTCTAGTTTAGCCAGAAGGATTTTCTCTACTATAAAGATTTTTCAACATACTTCTTTCCCCTCCGATGTTATGGAGCTATGGCATGAAAAAGATTATTTGAGCTGCATTGAATGATTCTGTTTAACTAACTTGAGTAAAAGATTGTCATGCTTGTTCTAGTCTGAGCATGATCAGAAATACTGCATGGTGGTATGTTATGTTTGGAAAATTAACACTGTGTCTTAGCAGGAGCCTCAAATCTTTTGAAGGCAGATTTAGTTATTTTCTCCAGTTATGAAAAATATTTTCAATTTAATTTAAATTCCGTTAGACCCATGTTGCTGTTTTCAGGAGGTAACAGCTGATTAGGTTCTCAGTTACTTTTCTTTCAATTCCTGGAAGGAAATCTATTCTGTGGTTTATGTGGTAAAGTGACTGAAGAGTTTAAGTGCATGTAGACAAAGCTGTCCCTGTTAAGGAAAAAGTATAGTTAAAGGTATATTATGAGAAAGTGACAAGTGAAATGTTTTTTCAGCATGTGGGCTGCATAGGACACGACAAACCTACCCTAAAGATGGTCTCATGCATGAGATTCTGTCAAAGAGAAATCTTCCTTTAGAGACTCATACTTGAGGCAGGAGACTTATGCGACCTGCCTGGTATGCCTGAAGGAAAAGATGTATTAAATGCTAGCAGAGAAGAAGGAAAAAACTTGTCAAAATTTGTGGTTTTTTTTTAAAAGGGTGCCAGCATTTGGTCAGAGCCAGCTACACCAGACTTGTGATCGATTCTGGGAGCTGAGTTTACAGGAAAGTTTTGTTGTTCTGTTAAGAAATAGAACAGGATGAACTTTTCAACCTAGTAGGTAGAGAGCTAATTTCCATGGGCCTAACTCTGTCGGCAAGAAAAGTGAGTGTTAAGAAAGAACAGGCAAACTGTTAAGACAAGGCATTAGGTGTTTTCTCACAGCAAAAGCCAGATGACTGGAATCAGAAGACCAGAAAGTTTCTAAGTCCGCTCATGCACATTGAACTAGACATCTGACTTGAAAGATAGGAAAAGGAGAGATAAAAACTTACATGATACTCATGTATGTAAAACCAATTTTGAAGTCTATATGAAAAGGGAGGTTTTGCAGAGGAGAAAGAATCATCAATTGTAAAGTTTAAGTTGGAGCAAAATCTTTAAAACCTTTTCCCCTATGTCACACAGAAAGCTGTCATCATGTGTCAACCCCTACCCTGAGCTGCATGGATTCCCGTGAGTGCATCACAGTATAAAGTGTCATATCATTCCTACCTAAGGATCTTGAGTCATGTTCCATTTGTAAAAAGTCTTAGGCCCCACTGACACTTATTTAAAAAACAAAAGCAAACAACAAAACCCCCAAATCCACAGCTTCCCAAGTTTGTATTTACCTGACACAGTCTGTTTTGTAGCAGACTTGTGGAGAGGTTTGTCTTAAATCTTACTCTATTCCTTTTCAAATCACAGTCCAACCTTCAAGAAGGTTTTGAGTGCTCACAATTATTTATTGTAGAATTGTAATACCCAGGCTCCTCCAAAAAGGATCCCAGAATCTCGTTGTGCTCAGCAGAGTGAAAAACACAATGTAAGGAAAAGTTCTCACCAACATACTGAAGTGGCACATGGCTCTTCAGAGACTGAAAGTGGTTTTCCCACATTCTGGTAGTTTCTCCTGAAAAAACAAAAACCAAGACACCTTAAGATCTTATCCCTTGAGGGCTCCTGTTGACTTGCAATCATACATTGCAGAAGAGTGTTCAACACAGTCTGACCTTAAGAACCCTGTTTCTTACTTCTCTATTGCACTAAAGAGAACAAGTGTTCCTGTTTCTTTGGAGAATAATTATTCCTCTTTTCTACTTTGTGCTTGCTAAGAAGTACTTGTGTGATTAAAGTGGTTTGTTGTTTTAGACTGATAGTTTGGGTGTGGGATAGGAGAATTGCTGGATCCTCCTTCCATGGACCAGAAGATCTAAGTGAGCTCATTGCCACTAGCTTCATGCCAAGGGAGAGATCTTAGTGGGATCACTAAAGATTAGCAGTTGCATGAATAAAGATACCTACAAGAAGAACGTTTTGAAGTGGCACAAACCTTCCTTTTCCAGACAAAAACACTGGCATTTCATAATCAGTCTGTGATGAGGAACAAATTGTTAGGAAAAAGGAATTCCTGGGAATTGCAACATTGCAAACTCTGTTCTTCCGAATCAGAATGAATAGCCAGAACATCCCACTGAATGAAAATACTGGGGATTGGAAAAAGTTAATTTGTGACAATGGAAACATTTCATACCTTTATATTTGGTGTAACCTGATGATAATGCAAATATCCAGGCTAATGTTTCATAAGTTGAAGAAATTCAGTTATGTAAAATCATAGTGCTTTACTATAACATTTTTACTTCTACCCACTTTGAATTTTCACCCCTGTTACAAGACAAAGAACCACACTCCATTCACATCAATAGCTCTTTTCATCTGGGGGGACATGATTTAGAGAGTAGCTTTCCCAAAGGTAAGACTCACCCATTACCTGCTGGATGGGTTTTCTGTGTGATTTCCCCAGATATAGGAAAATAAACTGGAGTGTCTGTGGTAGCAGGGAAATACTTTTATCTTCACCCTGGAAGTTTAAAATGAGCATTAAGTCTCCTGTTCCAGGTGCTTTAGGAAAGAGTATGAGAAACTTAACAGAGCTTTATTTCAATACCTCTCCTGCTATTTCCCAGTATACTACTCCATAGTATAAAGAAACCTGAAGTATATAAAGTTCTTGAGCTGGAGATGATAATCTCCTGCATGTTGTATTTTGTTGTTATGGCATCTTTCCTCTATGACTCTTGCTATTGTTTTATTGTTAAGGAAATAATTTTGGCATTTCAAGTACTTTGTATTGATTAGTTTCATAATTTAGTTTTCTTGAGTGACATAGTAATTATTGGGTTAAACCTGAGGCCTGATAGGGTTCTTGGACTCCCCTTAGGTCTTGTGTTTGAGAATCAAGAGATAAATATTTCCCTTCACCTTTCATGATTTTTCAGGCCTCAGTTTCCTTACTGATTTCTTTCCCAAGCTGGAGAGTCTTGGCCAATTTAAATGCTTTCCACAATGAAGCTGTATCATATGGATAATTTGTCCTCTTTATACTTCTTCTACTTCTGTTATATTCTTTCTGAGAAGAGAATTGTATGTGATAACAAAGGTATTGTTGCATGACTAATTCTGACATACAACATTTTCTTTTTGATTTTCTCTTCTTAATAATGATTAATGGTTTATGTGCCTGTTAGACACTATTGTTTAGGGAGCTATTCCTGCCAGAGAAAGAGCCAAAATAAGTCGAGAAGATCTCTCTTCTCAAATGAACATTCTAATGACAACAATATACTAGAGACCATTATTTTATGTACCCAGAGAAGGTTTTATTTTTTTTTCTTCACATTTATGTTTCTGAGCATTGAATTTAAGCTGCTGTTTTGCTTCCCAGTTACTGGCTATATCCAAATTCTTCCACAACTTGTACTTTGATAACATGATGTGACAAAGTTTGCTGCTGATGTTGGATAAATTGGTATTGTAAAGATGAGTGCCACCTGCAGAGATATCCAGAAGACTTTTCTGAGGGTGCCATTCTCATACCACTCAAATTAGATTTGGTGTTGGTACGTACAAATGATGAACAAAGCTGACATCAGCTTAAAAAAAAAGTAAATGACAAGTGTTCCGAGCTAACAGCCATGCCTCTTTGGGAATGAGACCTTGACATTACATCAGAGAGTGAAAAAGTCACTCTGATAGTCAAAAAAGTAAATCAAACATTAAGGATTAGTATGGGAAAAGAAGAATTAGTGGGAGGAAAATGAAATAGAGTACAGGCATTTGCTCCTGTATAAATTCAAATTGAACCCATACCCTGACTGCTGTGTGCAATTCAGCTACCCCTGTCCTACAGCTTTAAAGGGGACATAACAGAGCTAGCTCAGAGAAGGCCAAAGATGACCTAAAGATATGGAATGGCTTCTACAAGGAGAATGACTCAATCAGCTCCTCTGCCTGAGAGACATACAACTGACAAGGAATATCACAGAGATATATTAATTCATGGATGATATGGAGATGGTTAATAGAAAAAGGTTGTTCTTGCATGGGAAGAGATAGTTAATTTGGGACTATCCAATGAAATTTACAGGAAATAAGTGGCGCATGAAAGAATGTGTTTTTTCTCACAGGCAGTGAAGCTATGGAACTCCTGCCAGAAAATGAGTGATATATAAGTCCATTTATCATAATTCCACTAAGTCTGGGAAACACTGAGAGGAAGTTACTGCTTCACTTCTTTGCCACTTGTGCAGTGGGATGGTCTGTACCTGCATGAAGCTCATGGATGATATTGAATTGGAGAAAGGGGTCAATCTACTGGAAAGCAGCATGGATCCTTCCTCCAGCTTAGCACATTCCTTCTGAATGGCCAACAAAAACCTACTGGAGTTCAGTAATGGAAAATGCAAAATACTGCACCTAGGATGCCATAACCACATGCAGCAGTGCAGGCTGGGGATACACAGGATAAAAAATAGCTTTGCAGAAAGCTGCAGGTGAGCAATCAGCTGAATAGGCAGCTGCAGTTTCTTTTGCAGCCATGAGGACTAACTGGTCTGTATGACCAAGAGCATGGCCAGCAAGATGAGGGAAGTGATTATTCTCTGTATTTGACATGTATGAGGCCATGTCTGAGGTACTGTGTTTGGATTGGGTCACCCTAGTGCAAAAGCAATATTTACAAATTGGAGAGGGCCCAGGAAGGGTCACCAAGATGGTCAGGATGCTGCAGCACATACTGCACAAGTGGAGGCTGAGAAAGCTGGGTTTGTTCAGCCTGCAGATGAGAAGAGTAAGGGAGGGTCCAATTCCTGTCTTCTAACTTCCAAAGAGTAGAGAAGTATTCAAATGAACTTACATCTGTGTTTCCCAAGACATGTCATGCCTTTCTGCACCCTCTGTCTTACCTTTACTTTAGACAGGTAGAATTGTTGTGAGCAGGAGAAGTCAGGAGGCTGGGGCAGGTGTGGGGGCCTGCACTGAGGGCTGGGGGCAAGAGGTGTACTCTGCAGGCTGGGGTTTCTTGCAATGAGAAGGTGGGGGATGCGGAAAAATGTGAGAGTGGAGGAAAAGAAGGAAATCTGGTTAGGAAAAAGAATTTAGGAAAGGATGGGAAATGAGATGGAAAATGTCAGGGGTTCTGTATTGAAAGAATGAGGAGAAATTGGCTCTGAGTAGGGGTGGGTTGCAAAATGAGTTTGGAAACAGAAGGGCTTGGGAGATAAAAAGTCACAACTAGGAAAAAGTAGACAAGAGGGGAGAGTCAGGGGATGATCATGCTGTGCTGGACAGGATTTGGGATGAGAATAGGCAGGGATTACTGTGATGCCTCCCTCCTGCTTCTAACCAGCTCAAATCTGCGGACAGAAATTTGCAGAGACCTGGCCTTCCTCTCCCTGCAGCAAGGGATTTGTCTCTCCTACGTTCTCTTTTTGTCACTCAAAAGTATAAAATTTAAAGTTCAATTTCCAGACAAGAAGATAACAATAATTTTGCTGGCTATCTATTTTTAAATCGACACCTCAAAAAAACATAGCAATGTCACAGAACCCTCAAACTCAGCTCCTCCTTCACAGTTTTTCTGCTCCTTTCCAGGATGAGATGGGACACTCATCAGTCAGAGTGCAGACTCGGCTGCCAATTGCACTGTCACCCTTGCCCGAATCCGCTTCCAAATTTAGCCAGACGAAGTAAATTCTGGACAAAGACCATTCCCGGCTTGGCCGGCAGATGGCAATTACTGCTCTTAAAGGGATCCTTAGGCGGCCTTTAAAGTATGGAAGAAAGGGATTTGCAGTGGCTCAGTCTCCTTAATATTATACTGAGTGTAAAAACACCTCTGAAATTTGAGTTCAGCTTTCCTGTCATCCACTAACAGATCAAATATCGGAGCTTCTCAGTCTGTGGAATAAGTACTGTCATACATTAAGGAGAAAAGCGCTTAATGCTGTTTTGTTCATTTGGCAGTTAACTCTGGTATGCTTCGGTACCATGTAGTACAGGAAGTTTTGGTCCCTTTTTAAAGGTACTGTAAAATCTACATTGTTTATGGGATGCTTCCTGTCACATCAAAGGGTCCTGATATGCATTGACATGGAGGGTTGAAATGAAAGAAACAGTGGACGTAATTGTGTGTTTCCTATTGTTACAGATCCACAGGAAATGAGCCACGTGATTTCAAAAGAAAGAAAAAGCAGAGCATGCAGGTATGGATAATATATGTAATAAATGACAAACTTCTGGAAAGGTTAGCAGAGAAGGCTCTGCAGGAGAATAATGGAAACTTGAGTAAGGTTCTTTGCTGAATAAGGAGAATATTTCTGGGATGATGTAAAAAGTCAGCAAGACAGCAATCAGAACTATAGCTAATGGACAAATATACTGACATTTCACTTTTCCTTGCCTGAATTCCTCTTTCAATCTCAGTTTCTTAAATCATTCTCTGATGATCTTTTTGCCTCAAGATGCATAAATAGAATATGAAACAAGCTTTACCTAGCTTTGCATGGCTTAAGGTTTAGTTCCTCTGATATGAGTCTGAATTGCTGAAATGAGCAAAGAAGAAAAACTAGT